CTTTAATTAACAGAATTCTTTAAAAGATATGATGCCAACTCTTGTACACATATCTCAAGGGTCTGTGTTCAACTAACTTTTTTATCCTACTGGTACCCTATGTATAGTTGCCTTTTAAGTTTATAGCGAGGTTACTAAAGGCTGTCTCTGTTCAATTATGTCACAAAATCCCAAAGTAGCCTTAGGTAACACACAGTAGTTGGAATGGATATGTAATTAGAGAAAGAGACCTTGTGTAGCGCTTGGCTGAAAATCTCACACATTTATTCAGGTAAAGCAGTCTGGTAGATTCCTTCCTGACAATAATACGTACATCTGTGAAGCAGGACAAACAAGCTGCTTCCATCCAGAGTCCTGGCTGTGAGAGCAGGAGTTTATATGGATCTGGCAATGTATAAAGATTGCAGAAGGTCTTCAGGGTTCAAAACGTCTGTTTGAAGGAGCTGTTATTAGTACTCAAACTTCTGAAGTTATTCGAGAAGACTTTGCCAAAATGGCCAACGGGAGAGCTAAAGAATATGCTCAGGTCTGGTTTTTATACTTCTTTGAGAAAGCAGAAATGGGCTGTCTGGGAATATATTCACTGAGGGACTTTTTTCTGCCACTGTGAATGAGGATACCATTCCCAAGGAAGAATTCTTGTGCCAGGAAAGTCTTCGCTCCATTAATCTATTTTTTTTCCAAGGTCAGGAGTTTACCGCTTAGACATAACCAGAAGGTAAATCAGCAATCTAGCCTCACAGGCCTTAGCTGAAAATATGTGAAACTTGCACATTTCTCAGGATATGAGGCTTCTCATAACGATAAAGACACTCAGTGTGCCTCCCCACAGAGCATCTCTCCAGCGTCCCAGGAGAAAGACATCCAATGAAGGAACAATTAGAGGAAGTCACATTGTTATAGAAGAAGTCTGGTCTCTGCAAGCAGAAGAATCTCATACAGAGATGCCATGTGATATGAATCAAAGGAGAGTCTGGCCTTACTGAAGAATAGTGGCAGTTGGGACAGAAGAACAGAAAGACAAGAGGGAAAACACAAAATAACCTTAAAGTGGAGGATGGGACAGAAAAGAGGTAATGAAGATTTTCATATATGGCTGTAGGTTTATCACAGAGTCTGGAACAACCTGATGAAGCTCTTCTCCGAGCCAAGAAACTTAAGAGAAATCAAGAAGCAGTGTCTTTAACATGCTCAGCACGAATGAAGAGTAAACGTTCTGTGGATAAACAAAGCATGTTTTAAACATGAAGGGACTGAGGTTCACATCACCCCCCTGAATGGGCACAGCAATGAGCACTCAAAGAAGTGGTAGTTGCCAACAGAAGGCGCAGACCACCTTTTGTGCAACTTTCCACCATCTTGCACATATCTGTCTTCAGTGTTAACAGCATTGTCAGTAATACCTAGGCACAGACTCCTCCCTTATCTATTTGCAGTGTGGCTGTCTGCCAGCCTCCCTCCACGCTTCTCACTAGGAAGTGAAAGTCAAGTTGACTCCCTGCTACCACACTGCTGCACAGATGCAGCAGTTGCTTCCTTTTTCCCACCAGGGCTTTCATTTGGGTTACAGATAGATAAACTTCAGAAAAATGCTGGGAAATGAAAGAGATCAAGACATAGAAGTCAGGAGAGGAAGACCAAAATGTTAATTGACATTACAATATCGAAAGGATACAAATAGGGCCCAAAGACCTCAACTATATCTTGTTCTGAACAAGAGAGGCATCTATCCTTCAAATATTATAAAATACTACGAGGTTCATGATGCATCAGCAAGTGGTTACTGGTGGTGAGACGTGGTGGGAGAGAACTTGCCTCAAAGCAGAGAAAGATTTTGTTCAGGAGCAAACACATAGTATAGGAAACAACTGAGATGAAGGGAAAGCGATGATGAAAATGTGGGAGGAAGCTGGCATAGTGGGGAATGAAAATGTGAAAGGGATTATGAAGGGGAAAAAGAGATCAGATTAATGAGGGAAAAAATAAGATAAATTATTTACATTGGAAAAGTAGACAAGAGTGGGAAAGAAAAGAACTAGAAATCTAACATTTTAAAAGCAGTAACAAAATAGCAAGCTGCTATTTTTTGAGGGAACATGGCACAGATTTTATTCTGCTGGCTCAAAAAGTGCATAGTTCATAATTTCTCTGGATTATCTGTGGCAGAAAAAAAAAAAGAACAAAAAGTTTTCAATATGCACACTACCATCTGTTTAAGGATTGTATCCACAACAACTAGAAACCAAGACAAAAATCAGTCACCATGTAACCACAGCCCTCTGAGAAACTAGCAACGTAAGACAATTTTTTCAGTTTCTAACAACATATTCAGACACAGTACCACTGAACATTTAAGGGCTAAGATGAGGTACATCAAGTAATGAAGCTGGTGGTTTATATTTAAATTCTACCACATACTCAACCTACTCCTCGAAGTTATGGGTGTCTGACAGCCCAGCACTCACACGCACCGCTCCGTGCTTCAGGCTCCTCCAGACCAGAACGTTTCAGCTATAGAGACTGGGAAAGGTAAAACTCAAAGCGTTGCCAGCAAAGAAATTCTGAGGTGGTTGTTTGTTGGTGAGGTGATTTTTTTTGGAGAAAGAATCCAAAGTGAATTCTGCTTTGGACAGAAGAGCTCAATGAGCAGAAAAAAAATACTTTCTGTAAAGCACCATTAAAACCACCTATAATGCTCTTGTGTTCCCCTTCCATAAAGCTGCTGATATGCAGGGAAACTGCATTGTCTCTTTTCTCAAATAGATGAGGAGTAAAGGAGTAGGAGGAATGAGAGAGCACCTTCTCAAGGGGCAGCTAAACAAAATTACTGTGGTACAGCATGCCGAGGAAAGTTAAAGTTCACTTCCCTCGCCAAACAAAATGGAAAGCAGGAGAGAGAATGTTGATTTATCTCACCTATGGCACATTACCTACAGATACCATACTGGGACTCCAGAAATAGAGAATATAATACAGAATATAATTCAAAGCTCTATTTGATGACTGATATATACTTTGGAGCTTTTATTATTTTCAGTTTCACAAAAAAACTCTCTAAGAAACTAATCTACAGTCTTTTGTCAGCTTCCCTCCCACATGTAAAATTATCATCTAAATTCCACTCATAACGTGAGCTGTTCAACTCCACTGTTTCCAAATTATACCTTTCCAAGCCTCTAAGGGCAAAAGAATTGCCCAAGTACAGCAATTCAGAAGATAGTTTTCAACTTTTTAAATATTATTGAGATTGAAATTGGCTTGCTTTTCATTTTTACCACTACATCTCAACATTTGTGATTGATGCTTTTTGCGATTTAGTTGATAGCCAGTAAATTCTGTGAGTGAGTCATTAAAAAAGGCTGGCCAAAAGCTTTCATGACATCTTTTCTGAAGAGCCTCTTTGAAAGAGTCCTACGTTGATCCCATCACCTCCTGATCGCTGGTTTCACAGATGAGCACTGTCAGTTAAGTAAAAGCTGTGCTCAATTAAAGGCCAAACATGAAGAGAACTTGAAAGTGTTTCAGCAACTTGTAAAGGGAAGCATCTCACTGCTGTTCAAACAATGCTCATTTATTTTACTTAAACCCCTCCACCTTTTTAATGAACTCTATTTGAAGTCGAACATGAAAAGACGTTTTTCCACTTTCAATGTTCATAACCTAAGGAAAGGAGAAGATGAGAAGAAAATGTTATCAACTCTTCTTTTATAATTTACCATTCTGAACTTATTTACCACTATTTGGAATTAAAAATAGATTATGAAGACTGTCCTTCATAACTGGTAATGTTGAAACTTGGCTACGCTCTTCACAGCAGCTTGTAGCCCAACAGACACTTTCAATTCATTTTCTATTACAACAGCAACGTTCAAGAACTGAGTAATTTCTAGTTCAGTTCTTAAGTTAAAACTGATTAACGTTCTAGTGGGAGTAGAGAAAAGGAGATGAAGATCTTCCACCTGAGGAACAATTTCATCCCATTGAAATGTTAAGATATCAAGAAAAAGAGAATTATGTTATCAGGGACTGGAAACAAAGATTCATATTCCAGTTGCTGGCCAAAGCTTTATGCCATCACACCTCTAATTATGGCAACATATTAACAGTAACATAGCTATACCTACTTGTGCTACACTACCTCAAACACAATGAGAACTTATGTATCAGTACAGATCTATGTTTCTGGCAGAGGAAACTCAGTAAAGGCCTCAAATTGTGAGGCTGTAATTAAATTACAAGCAATTTTGTTCACATAGAGCAATGAAAGGCCTATGCTGTCCGCTAGGTTTGACAGAGTAGTAACACATACACCTATGATACTGGAAAAAGTGAATTGAGACACCAACTGCCTTGTTTTACTGCTCTACAATGCAATGTATATGAACAACTGCATTTGCTGTTTTAACTAAAACAGAGAAAATAAAAAAGGTTCTGCTGTTCTGTTCAATAAGGAAATAAAACAAGAGCATTAAGTGCAGCAAAGAGAAATCCCCTGTGGTTGACCTCTGTAAGAAAGTTAGAGAATTTAATGTCTGCCCTTTCTTCAAAGAAACAAGCCTTATTCAAAGTACATCTGCAAAAAAGGGAGTTACACAGACAATTTTCAACCTCTCTGAAAAGGATGCTGGCAATACAAATACTCTGGAGAGTCAGGAGCATTCTGACTTCCTAACTTTCTACAATGGCTCTTACTAAAGACCAGCAAAAGGCAATCACTGTACCTTTCTGCCTCATTTGTGGTGCAAGAATGCCGAAAGTACTGATCTCCTTACAGGATTGTCTGCCATTCTGCTTACCTCTTGTGAAGCAGTTTTAACATATAAAAGCTGTATAAAACACTTAAAGGGCTATTAGCAGTACACCAGGGCATGAAAGACTGATGGAGAAGAATAAAGAAAGACATTATTATTTTTAAGAAACAGGAACCACAAAAGAAATATGAATCAAAAAGGTACTTTTCCCGTAACTTAATATAATCCTTACAGAATGTATACCAATACCTGCTGCTGCCTTTGCCGCCTCATTTGGGCAACCTGAGACATCATGATTTGACGATCCAGTAGCTCCATTCTCTGTTGCCTCTGGATGTCCACTGTTGCTCCCATTCCCACTCGGACTTCGTTCGTTGGTTCCGCAGATGAGAAGATTGGTTCAAGAGTCCAAGAAAACAGCTTCGCTACCCAGCTGGGCACACAAAGAATTCTATGAACTTTTAATACACTGCTATTGTAGCAAATCCCAGAAACCTACAAACAAAAATAAAATGTTAAAAAACCCAAAAAACCTTAACTATACCCATTTTACTTTGTATTAGGTTGCAGTTAGCCGCTGGTCTTTCTGTTTTTTAAAACCCTTTTTCTTGTATTTACCCAGAGTTCTCAGTCAAGAATCGGAGAAGAACAGGGGATTTCTTTACCTCCAACTTCCTCTTAACTAAAGACTATTACTTTTTTTAAATCTGTGTACTGCATTGTGTGTGACTCAGAGAGCTGCTTGGGTTTGTTTGTTTGTTTGTTTCAGAATTTGTAACTAAACCAAGGGGACCATTTCTCAAACAGGTCAAAATTAGAGCAAAACTTTAATTTCTAGTAAAGGAACTGCATGCTAAGCTGAGAAGATTAAAGCTGCCCTTGAGGATGCTGAAGCATTGCAACCACTCCTTAAAAAAAACAACCCTCTCCAGGCTTCTGCCCTCCCCACCCAAGTCTCTCCTTCCAGTAATAACAAAGGCAAAACAGCTGATTTGAAGTTAAATTGAAGAGTATGCACAGATTTTTTCCAAAAGGATTCCATCTACCTTCTAGGATTAAAAAATGCTCAAAACCCAGTTCATTAAAACCTGTGATGCTGAAAAACCCAGGCTTTGCGATGCTCTTCTCCCACCTGTTAAAAAAAAAATCATTTCCTGCGTTCACACTCATGCTTGCCTTGCGGCGTGATTTCATTTCAGATTCAGGAGGAGCAACAGAAATCCATATGTCACATAAATGATCCACAGCCATCACTCAACCATCACTTTAAATCCCATTATGAAGCTCTAGCACTTGAGCCCAAAGTATCCCAGCAGGAAGGCCAAAGTTCTTGCACAGACTCTGAGGTCTGCATTCTGCTTTATGCCACATTTCAGTATATTCAGTGACTATTTACTGTCTGTTATGCCACAAGAATTATGCTATGGCAACAGAGTGAAATGAAGAGGAAGAGATACAACACCCCCCTCCCCCAAAAAAAAAATAAAAAAAATCCATCAACATACCCAAACAATGCAATTAGGCTAGAAGCAATGTAGAAACTCCACATCTGGGCTATTTATTTGAGGGTATTTATTTTATCTTGCTGACATTTGTATGAACGTGTCATCGTATTGCTGCATGTACAAAGGGAGGCAGTATAGGAAAATGCAACATTCTTTGGGAGGGGGATATTTTCCAGATTATTTACAAGGTTATTGTTACTTATCCAGTGATATTGAGACTTTTAGCAAAAATACATTCTGCTTTGGGACACACTGATTTTCATTTTATTCTACTTTCATTTTATGACTGTTCTCAGGGTTGGATGTAACAGCAAACACAGGATAACATTCTAAAATGAGAAAGTACAGTTTAAACTACCCTTAACCCCCTTCAATCTTCTCGGGCTATGAGAAAGGAGGTAAATGGGATGGGTTAAGAGGAAGGCCATAATCTCTGGCATCCTAGTGAAGGCTGCCTTTAACAAAATTTTTCAATATTCAAGGATAGGTCCTGACTGGACTCCAGGAATGATGGGGTGCTGCAACAGAAGCTTCTTCATGACCTCAGCTTTAGTGAAACTGTTCCAGATGACTGTAAACCCACGGCCAAAACTTGCGCACACCAACTGGAAACTAAGGTAGAATTATAATCACTAAATAATAAGTGGAGGAAAATTCACATCACTTCTGTAATTCATCTACTTTTGGTATGAAGTACTTGAGATATCTATGGAGCAAGAAGGTCCCTCAGAAGCTAACCACCCAGTCCCAAGAGAGTTATGTAGATAGGCTCCTCGCTCAAGAAAACCTAAATTGTAGGGCTACCAGGAAGGTCACTTTTTTGGGAGCAAGAATTACTAAACCAGGTTGCAAATGCTATGTGTACATTTAATCTGATGATTTCTTAGATGCAAAATGCACAAGCAACACCACAACTATAAATTATCTTCCTGTCTCCCACCCCATATTGTTAGGCTATGGAGCCAGGGTCCCTCTTTGGTCCCAGGGATTTTGCATTCCTGGTTCCACAGGTGTAACCAAGCAGGGAAACAGTGCTCCAGCTCAAAATACTTTGTCCAACGTCACACCAGCATTCCCTCACTTCTTCCAAATGTCCCTCCCAGCTATGGATCTCTGCCCACTCTTATCACCTACAGTCCTTTGTTAAGGTCTAATGTTTTCAGGGTAACCTAAACCTTGAGCGGGTTCAAAAAGTCACAAGAACAAAACAAAGCAAGCGGTGATAGGAAAATCTACATCTCCCTGAATGTATGACAAATCTTGACACGTGTCTGAACACATTAACCACAAACAGAACCATTCTCTTATCAACTCATGATGGAAACAGCAGAGAGATAGCAGCAGCATGTGTTTAGTGTCAGTACTTTGGGACTTGTTTGTCTTAGACGGGAAAGTGTACTGCAAACAACAACTAGTAGCTGCATCAGTAAAAGCATTCTCGTATCTTTCTCTGTAGAGACAGCAAGTCATAGAAGAATTTAAATTGGAAAAGACCCTGAAGATCATTAACTCCAACCATTAACCTAACAGTACTACCAAGCCCACCACTAAACCATGTCCTTAAGTGCCACATCTACACATCTTTTAAAATACCTTCAGGGATGGTGACTCCACCCCTTCCCTGGGCAGCCTGTTCCAATGCTTGACAACCCTTTAGGTGAAGACATTTTTCCTAACATCCAATCTAAACTTCCCCTGGCACTACTTGAGGCCATTTCCTCTCCTCCTATCTCTTGCTGCTTGGGAAAACAGACAGACAGCCACTTCACTACAAGCTCCTTTCAGGCAGCTGTAGAAAGTAAGTCATTCCAGAGCATTTAATCAGAAGAAAAAGCTTTATAAGGCTAAAAGTTTATGGACACTGTTAAAATGGAGAATGGCACTTAGCACTGTGTGTGAGACTCAGACACAACAAACCCTCAAACTCCTTCAGGCTTGCCCAGCTAAATGAGCTCACTGGAGCAGCATGCCTGCTCTATAGCCAATGCAGCAGTGGCAGTGGGCTGTTACCTTCTCTCTCCTTGCTGCTCCTCAACAGCAGACTGGTGTCCTGACCCTTCCCTGTTCTGCCTTGGACAGAAACTGACTGCATAACCCAAACATGAGGACTTCTGTGCTCGCAGAGCAGGAAGGTGAGAAGTCTGACAATGTAAAATTCACAGCAAAATCTAAAATAAAGAGCACCTGGTGAAGGAACAAGACAAAAGTGCGCAGGACTAGCAGAAAGGAAGTTTATCTGCTACAGAGTGTTGTCAAGAAACTTACTGTGGACCAGTAATCATTCAGAGCAACCATGTGAGACTGCAGTTCTTCACAAGTATAAGCAAATTGAAGGACAGACTCAGCTGTGCGGAGCACCAGGCTTTCCACCTTGACATCTCCACCTCTGTTGGTATTTCAGTGCCACTCCCCTTCCTCTCTGCCCTGACTTATTACTCCAGTGATAAAGCTATTAGATGGAAGTATAAGAAATGCTGTGCTCAGTTTTAAGATTTTCAAGAAATTTCATCTAGTGAGGAAGAGCTACCTATTTGCATGTTTCCAATAAGCCCAGAGTGGAGACATCTGTAGTTAAAATAGGTCTCGTGAGTCAGTCTGGTTTAGTGTCATACAGCCATCTTAATATCAAGTATTTCCAAAGAACTTCCTCTTTAGCTGGTTCATATGCAGAACTTGATATATATAATTTCAAACAAAACAAAACAAGCTTCAGCAAAGTATAAACTAAACTAAAGTTTTACACCATTTTTGTTACAGACGTAGTGAATTTCTAGTCTTTAAGAAAGTAAACCAACTTTGTTTACTCAATGAAGACAAGACGATCTCATTATATCCTAACTTCAGCACTGTACATGAGACTAAAGATTTCCACAAACCAATGTGTCTGCAGGGTATTTTAGCCTCTAAAAACTCACTAAGGAGAAGACATCGCAGCTAAATTCACATTGTTAGAATGCAGAATTTTTAGCTGGCAACATAAAACACATCTTAGTTGTGTTCTGTTATTCACACCATCGTAACCTGCAACCCCAGCCACCATATTGTGTGAGCCAAAATGCTAAGCAGAGGAAATGGAGTGTGCTGGAAACTGTCTGGTACTCTGCAGAAAAAAGAGTGCTGACATATTTTCAGTTTCTTAACATCATTACTTACTACAGGTTCTTCACATGAAGTTTCCTAACCTCTTCCCACCCCTGTAGAAAGGCCAACTTCCCCTCTCCTTCCCTCATGTCCCTCCAAAGTTGTACACTTTTCAGAAAAAGGAAGTAGCTGCAGTTTCTCTTTTACATTAGGTAAACCAAACATGGAAGCTCTCCAATATTTGACACGACAAAGACATATGCATCACTACTAAACTGAGATATTTAAAACCACTGTACTTGATTAACATTTAAAAAAGGAAAGCAAATGGAAAAGACAGTAGGCAGATTAGTATAGAAAATGACGTTGAAAATTATTTTCCCTAATGGTGAGAATTTGACAGCAAATACTCAATTATTTTGTTCTGAGTAATTTAAATTTTTTTATCATAGGTATTCAAGACTTTGCAATTTTCAGATCCCAACAAACTGAAAGCAAATGCCAGTATTCTTACGGTGAAGTGACATTCTTAGACCTATTTTATCTGCTTTATCCTTAGTACGTTCTGAATTCTATACGACTAGAATCAAAACAAGAGGTTAAAGTTTGTGTCAAGATTCTGCATTTACCTTGATTAGAGAAACATTCATCAAACCAAGAGAGATCACATGAAAACCACCCAACAAATAAAACCACTGCACATGTATTTTCAACTTGTAGTTATAAACTGCAATGTAACTGTACAAAAGCAGATTATTTTCCTTGGGTTTTCTTTGCAGAAATAGTTAATAATATTATAAAGAGCCTTTTACAATAGTTAGCTTGATGGAAAAATATGATTATAATAATAACATACGAATTCTCTTCAATTTTTCTTCCCAGTTGACAGAGATCATTATTTTCCCAGAT